GGCCTGTGGGGCATGCTCTGCGTGGGGCTGTCTTTGCTGTGTTCTAGACAGCGCTCTCCGAAGCGCTCCAGAAACGGCTTGACTCCTGCTCCTGGTGTCTTCAGAGTGAGACTACAGGCAAGTTTCTCTATTTACTTCTTTGGGCCGAACTGTCTGGGATTCAGCTGATTTCCCGATTGTTTTCAATACCTCTGTTTGTTTTCAAAGGACTAGCAGGAGTTTTTTGAAGTCGCTCAGGTTTTCGTACCTCACAATTTTTAGCATTGGTGACAGATATAGAAGCTTTCACAGGGGAAGAAGCAGCTTTCTGAAACATGAAAACACTTGGGATAAATACAGCACTCAAATGCCTAAAGATAGTCCCATAACAACAACGCAAATTCTACTTGCTTGGTAGCCTACGTAAACGCATGAAACAATGTTGTTGTTATCTAATAGATCAAGCCAATGTGAAAGGTTTGAGAAAAAAAATCAACTTGGAAAATACTGTAATTCAAATTATGCTGTATAGTTCAGGCTGTATACTAGATCGATGGGTAATTTAGTATGAGGGACAGAGTCACTATTTTATAAAACAATCTCTTAGTAGTATCACACTATTACATTTATGAATTTTAACTATGTTAAACCAAATTACATATTTTTGTATTTTAATTAAGTCAGTATTATTTTAACATAATCGTATCATAGCCCTAGCCAGTGTGGCTCAGCTGGTTGGCTGGTTGAGCACCGTCCTGTGCACTGAAAGGTCGCCGGTTCGATTCCCAGTCAGGACACATGCCCGGCTTGTAGGTTTAGTCCCTGGTCGGGGTGCTACGGGAGGCAACCAATTCATGTTTCTCTCTCCCTTTACAATAAATAAAAACATATATGTATTTTTATTGCATCATGTACTTGCTGACTAATGATAATAAAGGCAGTACTCACTAGTGCCAAGCCCTATGCTAAGTGCTCTGTGCACATCACCTCGCTTCACCCTCCCCAGAACCCTTTCCTAGGTTCTGCAAGACAAAGCCTTGTCCAAGGCCACACTTCTAACGATGTGGCAGGGCTGGGACTGCACGCAGGCTAATTCCAGATCCCAGCGCTACACTCAATGACGATGCGCAGTACACAACATTCTTTTTCTTTTTTGTTTTTTTAAAAGATATATTTTTTAAAATGTTGAGGTAGCACATGCACAAGGGAACCTTTCAAAAAGATGTACATGAAAGCACCGTACCCACCGCTGACAACTGCCACCTGGTCACACGGCTCCTAGTTGTCAGAAATGCGCACCCTGACGGAGAAAGTCATTTTCAGGCTCTCCCTGACGAAGAGGCTCCATCAAGTCATGGTGCACACTTTGGAGTTGCACTAGTTCTTAACTGCTCACTTACCTTGGGTGGGGGTACCAAATTTATGACTTTTACTGTCTATGAAACCAATATTCTAAAAGTAACATAAAACACTGCAGCTATGTTATAAAAAGACAGACCTACACGTAAATGTACATTATCTCTCCTAACAAAGAAAGGCTTCTGTATTGAAGGTTGTGTGTACTCACCGCAGCGCTGGAAACGGCACCCGGAGGCAAGGAGGCGGCCGCGGCTCTCGAGGCCGGGGCTTTGCTCAGAGAGGCATGGCCACCCCTCGGGGAGCAGCATGCGGCTTCCTGCGCAACACTGCGGCCATTGATGCCAGCAGATGCTCCGCTGGCAGAGGAAGCTTTGGACAAACAAGTGGTGCCAGGCTGTCCTGGGGCACTGTTCTGCTTTGCCGATGAGAGACTGACATCATCTTCCCAGGAGCAGATAGTGGCAGCAAGGTTGGCCAGACGGCCCCTCCTCCCCACGGGAGTGGCCGAGGCTTCTGCTGGTTTGGGAGGGGAGGCCGCCTTGTCCTCCGCGGGCATCGCTGGGATGAGTGAGCTTGCAGGGGTATCATCTGAAAATGTTTTCAGAAAAAGAATTCACGACCATGCTCAAGAGATGCATGTACGGTACGTGCAAACACCAGCACTACTCCACTCAGGATTTTTAACGAGGTTAACAGGCTTAGAGCTAGTCCGAAGCTCTCGTATGCATGAGAGCACCGAGCTGTTTAAATGTGACAATAGCTTTTCAAATCAGATGATACTTAATCCAAATTAAAACAAGAAAAACAAAACTTTCTTAACCAACTGCCTCCCTCCTTTTGGCTAAACCCCAGACACTGCAGATAACACACCTGAAGTTGAAATTGCAAATACATGTCCCTCCTCAGTGGGTGCCTCCTGCACGCCCACACCTGATAAATATACTGATAAACGAACTATGTGCAAGTGACCGTACGGGGGTACAGATGAAGCAAAAGCAGTTACCTTCATGTGTTAACTGATAAACACGACTTTCCACATACAATGTGGGTCTTACTGACAGAGTTAAGGGACATCCCATCCACGTCATGCGTACCTGTCACCTCATCATTATCCCAGTGGCGCCGCTGGGCTGCCAGCTTCTGCATCCGTGTTTTCACAGAGGAGGCTGCGGAGGCCTCGGGCCTGGCACTCAGCCCGCTCTGCAGGCCCAGCAGCGATGCCTGGGTGGCGGGCAGGGAATCACTGGCCGGAGCCGGTGCCTGTGGCCGTGCCTGAGGGGACACAGCACTTGGAGAACAAGGTTTGGCAGAAGCTGACTCAACCGGTTGTGCATTTTCCAGGTTGGAAACTTCCTCTTCAGTGTTGTCAGAACAGCGTTTTTTTGATGGCGATGGTTTTGTACAAGATTTCTCTAGATTAAAAAGGGGAAAATTTCAAACTTCCACACTTCCTCACAGCACAAACAACTGCCATAGGGACTTCACAACTTAATAAAACACGTTTCTCTAGTCCAGCGGTTCTCAACCTGTGGGTCGCATCCCCTTTGGGGGTCGAACGACCCTTTCACAGGGGTCGCCTAAGACCATCGGAAAACACATACATAATTACATATTGTTTTTGTGATTAATCACTATGCTTTAATTATGTTCAATTTGTAACAATGAAATTGGGGGTCACCACAACATGAGGAACTGAATTAAAGGGTCGCGGCATTAGGAAGGTTGAGAACCACTGCTCTAATCCTTTCAATGATTTTACTTACAAGAAATATGTAAAATTCTGCTTTCAATAACTTAGAAATCTGATGAGAGATTTTTGTTCGTTTTGTTTATTTATTTATTGCTTAAAGTATTACAAAGAGCTGATGAGAGATTTAAAATAATTTATGATTTAAAAAACCTGAATGAAAATAAATTCAAGTAACATTCTCAATATATATACACAATACTTTACACAGTTTACAACAGCAGGAAATTAAAAGTGCACACACAGAATGAGCAAATGTTCCGGAGCCTGCTAAAGGTCACAGCCTGATCACCTCACTTTCAGACAAGAAAAATCAAGCTGGAGGAATTTAGCTCCCTGCCTAGAGGGACACAGCTGAGCTAAGGGTAGGAACCAGACTTTCTGTTTTTAAAACAATCTTTCACAGACAATAAGTCAAGGATACCAGGGCACCTGGCTTGAGGTTTAGGAAAGAAACAGAGAACCAAAAATGTGACTGAATTATCTAGTCACTATAAACAAATTCATCAGCACAAGTGCTTAACCACACTTCATATTTTAAACTTCCACAAACACCTAGAAAACAAATTCCAAGTCCTAAAATAAAAGGCGTATGATTTCAACCCAGGAATGAGTTTTAATATAGCTCCTGGAAAGTTAATCCTTTTAAAAAGTCAGGATGTAAATTTCCTAAGAGGTCAGTTTCACCGGTTGTCTAACCAAGTATTCTTGTTCTGGCAGTGACCAAAGTTGTATTAGTAAGAGGCTATGACTGCCCTTATCAACATCCATCTAAGTAAAATACAGCATGAAACTTTCTCCTCTTCTGTAACTCATTTTCCATTGACCTATCTGATCATTTTTAACATGTTTCTATTTTAACATGGAATACCACCTGGAAAAACAGAATCCTTTACATTTACAGTTCTTGTGAACAACAGTAAATACCTACATTTTAGCATCAAAATGTAGTCCCAACCTCTGGTTTTCAAGCACACAGCACTCACTATGTGATTGTACAAACCCATGTCACAGCAACAGCAGAAGATCCTAGACTGGGCCAGGCCTCTGTTTTCCTGGCCGAATACCATCTATATGTAACGTATTCCCCTCCCTTCCCTCAACATAAATATGTGAAAATAAATTACCATTCTATGGTTAGTTTCCAAAATAACTGTAAGCCAGCCCCAAGCCCTTATCTCTGTAACCTCTTTTTCTACCTGTGCTTTAAAGTTATACCAAGGATTATCTCCAGACTATTCCACACTCAGAATAAGTTTGCATTGAGGAAAATAAAGTTCAACCGATTAATTTGAACTATTTGTTAAAAGAAACTCTGCTATGGCCTAGTAGGGTCTAGGCCAGGGGTGGGCAAACTTTTGACTCGAGGGCCACAATGGGTTCTTAAACTGGACCGGAGGGCCGGTACAAAAGCATGGATGGAGTGTTTGTGTGAACCAATATAAATTCAAAGTAAACATCATTACATAAAAGGGTATGGTCTTTTTTTTTTTTTTTAGTTTTATTCATTCCGGCCCGCGGGCCGTAGTTTGCCCACGGCTGGTCTAGGCCTAACACAAAACATAATCCTGACACAGAGGGGGAAGGCTGGTCGCTCGCCAGGGGCTGCTACGTTTGCCTCCCCCAGATGCCGATTCTTGCACATGCACGAGGAAATGTTTGGGGCTCCTCTCCTTCCATCACCTGCAGTCCTACCTGGCACCCCGGACAGGGGCTGCTGGTTACTGGCCTCTGCGAGCGGCTCTCTGGCGCGCTTGGCGGGAGGCACAGACCTCGGTGCTGCCGTGGGCCTCTCGGCCATCTTCCTCTGGAGATTTTCTCGCCTGGCACGGGTTCGTTCGAGGAGTTTCTACATAGATAATATTTAAAATACGGTTTAGTCAAAGGCTCACTAAACTCCAGGTAACTTCTAAAATCACCAATTGCCATGCAGAAAAAGAGTTAAATACATTTCAAAAGTGAAATCCCAAGGCACTCAAGATCCACTAAATGAGCACCCCAATGTCAAAATTACACCTGACGTAACATGAGCATTAAAGGGGGAGTAAAGCCCGGCTGGTGTGGCTCAGTGGACTGAGCGATAAGCAAACAGGAGAACCCATGCACCAAGAGGTCACCGGTTCGATTACCAGTCAGGGCACATGCCTGTGTTGTGGGCTCCATCCCCGGTAGGGGATGTACAGGAGGCAGCCGATTAAGGATGCTCCTCTATCATCCCTCTCCCTTCCTCTCTCTAAAAATCAGTAGAAACATATTTTTTTTTAAAAAAGAAATAGTGTGGTCATTGTTCTAAGCACTAAGGTAGGTGGGCAGAATAATGGTCTCCAAAGATGCTCATATCCTACTGTCCTGAAACTATGAATATGTTGCACGGCCAAAGGAAGCTTGCTGGTGTGACTAAGTTGAGAATCTGGCAATGGAGAGACCATCATGGGTTATCTGGACCGATGTAATCACAATGGCCCTTATAAGGGAAAAGAGGGGCAGGAAACTCAGAGGCAAAGAAGAGGTGGCAGGGGAAGCAGAGGTCAGAGTGACGTGACCGGTGGCTGTGAAGGTGGATGAAGGGGGACAGGACCCTAGAAGTGCAGGAGGCGCCAGAAGCTGGAGAAGGTAAGGAAATAAATTCTCCCCTAGAATCTCCAAAGGAACCCAATCCTGTCTGCACCCTGATTTTAACCCAGTAAAACCCATCAGACTTCTGACCCACGAAGCGAAGGTGTGATTCTGAGCCACCAAGTCTGTGGTCATTTGGTACAGCAGCAGCACTGATACAGCCACTGAGACCTGGGGCGGTCAACAGCAAGAGGTAACGGAAAACATAAGACACTTCCTAAGAGGAAAAAAATACACTAACCAATCTTACTGTTTTACTTAATTAAATGTCAATATAAAAGTTTTATGTTGAAATCTGAGCCATTTCATAAAGTTATCAATGCTTTTATGAACTCTGACACTCCTGTTTGAATTGTGGTAAAACAAACACGGGACCTGTAAAACAGCTCATTCTCTGCCAAATCCACACACCTGAGGGAGGGGCAGATTACTGGCTGGAGTGTATGTACTGCCCTGCAGCACAGGTATAGTACTTGGCAGACTAAGAAATTAACCCCTTCCCCGGCAGAAACGTGTATACTCGTTTTCACAAAATGTTCTTTTTCAGTCGTCGACGAGTGTACTAAGAAAATATGGTAAAAAAATATGGTTTATAGGAAGACGAGTTACAAACTGTTTTCATAACCAGCATCAAAAATACTATATAGAACCAAAATAAAAAAATTAGTCTGAAAAAGAAACGTTTTTAACAAAAAAAGTGTTGGGGAAGGGGTTAAACTCCATCTGGCCTTTTCATTCCATAATTAAAATAACTTTTTTTTTAATCCTCGGAAGCATGAGCTAAATTGGGAAGCTCAACTCTCTCCTCTCCTCAGGATGATTCCTAACTTACAGTCCATTGAGCCCGGGCCAGTATGGCTCCGTTGGCTGAGCGTTATCTTGTGCACAGAGAGGCCAAGGGTTCGATTCCCTGTCAGGGCACATGCCCGGGTTATGGGTTGGATCACCAGTAGGGGATGTACTGGAGGCAGTAGATTGATGTTTCTATTTCTCTGTCTCTTCCCCATCTCTAAAATCAATAAAAAAAAATTTTTTTTAAGTTGGTTGAAAAAAGTGACACAGAGTCTAAATGCTCTGGCACTGACAGGGTGATTTATGAACCAAGTGCCTTCCAAAACACAAAACCTTCCCCCTTTAAATAAAAGTCTTGCATAAACTCAAACGTGATAGACAAATTTATGTCTGATCATTTCTCCAGCAATAGAATCACTCCCTGGACAAAACTAGCCTAATTATATTCACTCATGGACATGCCCACATCCCATTCCAGTCTGTTAGAATACCTGTGAGTCAGTGTATCTTCAGTTACTATGAGCAATGGGTCACAACAAAAGAATGTGGTTGTGTCATTCTCACTGACACAACTGTCCTATTGTCTACTCTGGATCCAAATTTTTCCAAATTAAAAATAAAGTAGATAAGTAAAAAGAGAGAAAAAAAAAAACACGTTCCTTACTCTGTAAAATAAAAACTAATAAATACCAAAGGTTATTAATTTAAAAGAAATGATATACATATAAAAACAACAGCTCAGTAAAAGTAAGTCACCCTTCCTTATAATGGTGTATCAGGAAGTTAAAGATTATTTTGTTTATAACATACATTCCTTCAAAGAGTAGAGGAATAAAAAAAATAAAACACTGCAATAATTAACAGAATTAGGACATAAGATACTCCACATGGATGAATCTAAGATAACTAAAGCATATAGTCCCTAAGCAATTTCTGCCACACACACTTGGAACCATTTGTGCCAAAAATTTTCTAGGAAGGATTACTGACTCCCTGCCTTCTTAAACAGAGTAGATTCAATAGAAATTAACTTATTTTTTAAATATATTTTTATTGATTTCAGAGAGGAAGGGAGAGGGAGAGAGATAGAAACATCAATGAGAGAGAATCATTGATTCGCTACCTCCTGCACGCCCCCTACTGGGGATCAAGCCTGCAACCCAGGCATGTGCCCTTGACCGCAATCAAACCTGGGACCCTTCAGTTGATAGGCCAACACTCTATCTACTGAGCCAAACCAGCTAGGGAAGAAATTAACTTATTATTCTCAGTGTACTCCAGTAGCATTCCCTCCTGGGTCAATAGAGATTGTCACAATTCTGGAAAGTAAGAAAGACTCCCTTCAAAACAGTAACAGCATGTTTGTTTATTTTTATCACCAGGAAAGATGTTTTATAAAGTACGTTCATTGTAGCCTTTTCTCCTTTAGGGTTCCTCCACAGAAAGTTCTGACTTGGCACACCTAGCCCTGGTTTCCCTATGCTCGTCTTGGACTGGGATGACCACCGCCCATGGGCGGATCTTTAAATTAAGAGGCTAACACCAATGTTATGAGTAAGTGTAAATTCACCTAACAGTACAACAATCACTAACACTATGTAGGACTTAATATAAAGTACTTTCAGTGTTTGCACACATTAACTCATTTCATTTTCAAAGCCTAGAAACAAAAACAAAAACCACCTTATGTGGGACGCTCTCTTTTTACTGCTGTTTAGAGATGAAGAAATCCATGCACGGGTTGCATAACAAGCCATAGGTCAGAGCTAAGGAAAGGCGAGGCAGAATTCAAACAAGGGCTCCTGAGTCGGGGATCTTACTTTGCTATAAACTTGTCTTTTGACAAAATCCAATTGCTCTTTTTAAGAACTTTCGTCAGAGAACTAACTCCATATCATCAACATAACTTTTTTAATGCTATCAGCTCATATCAGATCATAATAATAAACATCTGCTGAAACTGCTTGTTTGCCCATGAACCGAGATGCAGTCATTACTTCCGGTTGGTCCATGTAAAACTTTAAAGACCCTGTCTACATCCTGATTCATGTAAACTGCAAAAGCATTAGACGCTTCGGGAAATCTGAACATTCGCGGGATACCTGATATTAAGGAACTGTTACTATTTAGGTGTGATGGCATATTGATGTTTTGCTTTTAAAGTCCTTAGCATTTAGTGGTAAACACTGAAATACTTAAGCATGAAATTATATAACCTCTAGGATTTGCTTTCAAATAATTCAGTGAAACACTGGCCTGTGCTACTGGGTGATGGGTGCATGAGAGGTTATCATGCCTGTGTCATTTGAAATGTTCTACACTTTAAATACACTGCTAAAATGTCCTAACAGCTACTGTGGTGTGTAATTACTTGATTGTAAAGTAATAGCACGGAATGGCTCTCTCCTATATGAATTCAGCACTGTTACTGGGTGTGCTTGAGGTGAGGGAAACCTCTCTCTGAATAGAAAAAACAGGCCTACCTCCGAGAAGCTTACATCCAGCAAGTAACATGCTCAAGAGGTAAATGCAAGTGAGCTGAGCACTGTGAAAGGTGTCCTCTCCTCTGAAGCAGGGAGATCGGTGTGGCAAGAGGTCAAACCAGAGTTTGCCAGGCAGAAGAGCAGGGAGAAGAGTGTACCAGAGGGCACCAGCGGCAGCAGGGAGAACGCAGGAAAACGGAGGTTAGGGGGCTGCAGCCTTTCTCAACCAGTTACCTGGAGAAGTCAGCCCTGGCTCCCTGACATCAATGTGACCAATAAAGTATCTGCTATGCTTGGAGGAGGGCACGGGAAAACTGAGAAAACGGTCTCTCCGGCTCCTGTGCTCTATGGCTCTGATGAGAAATGCTCGTTGAGAAAGTCATTTCAACTGACTTTTAGTCCTTTCAGACAAGGAACTGTGCCAGTTCACTTCCCTGTGCAAAAATGTTATGAATGCTGCAATTAAGCACCTACTGGTGGGAGCCAATTCAAACAGTTCACTCACTACCAATTAAGGGAAAGATGTCAAAGCCATTTATTCCAACTGCAACGGACCAACCTTTTCATAATACAAACCATACATATTAAACAATACATATTTCTGAGCACATGCTAAAATGAAAGGTTTCTTTCAAATAGTTTCTTTCAATTGAGATTTGTACTGCTTCAGAATGACATTTTTAACATTTTCAGCCAACATTCAAAATGCTTTGTTCCTGTTAGCTACTTGGGAGAATAAAAAAAAAAAACTATTCAGAACACAGAGGACTAATGTTTGAAGGAATCCTATTCTAAGTTAGTAACATTAAAAAAATATCCATGAGAATTTCAATTAAGTGAAAAATATGGTGCACGACCAGGCCTATTCTTTAAAGCTGATACAAAGATGTGTTCTGAAAAAAAAATGTTCTGGATTTTTGTGAGAATTTTTAAAAGTAAAGTAAACAGCCCCTCTCTCTTCCATTCTCACTAAAAAAATCAATGGTAAAAAATATCCTCGGGTGAGGATTTAAATAAAATAAAATAAAAATAAAAAGGTAAGCAAACTGGTGTTTTCTCCCAAGATGATTGAGAACTTGAAACAAAAATACTGTTGCCCCAGCTGGTGTGGCTCCGTGGATAGAGAGTCAGCCTGCAGACCAACGGGTCCTGGGTTCGATTCCTATCAAGGGCACCTACCTCAGATATAGGCTCCACCCTGCCCGGGCCCTGGTTGGGCGTGCAGGAGGCAACCAACCGATCAATGTGTTTCTCTCACATCGATATTTCTGTCTTTCCCTCTCTCTTCCACTCTCCTTAAAAATCAATCGAAAAACATCCTTGGGTGAGGATTAAAAATAATAATAATATGCCCTAGCCGGTTTGGCTCAGTGGATAGAGCCTCGGCCTATGGACTGAAGGGTCCAGGGTTCGATTCCAGTCAAGGGCACAGGCCCGGGTTGTGGCTCCATCCCCAGTGGGGGCGTGCAGGAGGCAGCCGATCCATGATTCTCTCTCATCACTGATGTTTCTATCTCTCTCCCTTATCCTTCTACTCTGAAATCAATAAAAATATGTTTTTAAAAAATAATAACAAATACTGTTGTGTCTGAAAACAGGTAAGGTCTAACTGTTGAAACTTTTAAATACCTTACACTTTATGGAATTGTAACTACATTTCCAAAAAAAAAAAAAAGTATTACTCTCCAAAGCATTTAAGTTTTTTAATCTGATGTAGAGACGTTTAGGTTCCCTTTGCAGAAACTCAAAAAACAACAGTATGAAGCTTGTGCAACCACCTTAAAAAGAGGAAGAAACGAGTGGACACAGCTGGCAACACAAAACCCCTGAACCGCCCATGCCTCACGGGTCAGAGCCAGAGGATTCATCACACAGGAAGAATGTAATTACCCGCATCCAGTTCCCCGGACCGAAAGGGGAGTGGAACCCTGCGGCGATGTCACCCATACACACACATAAGGTTTATTTCTTTACTCTGGGCCGCGGGCTCATAAACTTGATTTGTACACGTCCAGCTCCCGCTTTCCCTTTCAATGTGCGGCCAAGCGGGATGAACCTTCGGCCCGGCCGGCCGAGCGGCGGGATCTGCAGAACCGTCTGACCTTCCGGGAGCGGAGGCGACGGTCCCAGGCGCCAGCTTATTCCAACGCTCGGCTGTTACCCCGGGAACCGCAGCCTCAAAGGCACCCGTAGCTCCCGGCGGGCCGCACGGATCCCGCAGATCCCATTCCATCTCCCGGCGGCGGTTGCACATGCAACGGTGAGTCAC